TACACACCAGCCTGTTGACTTACTGAGGACACACTCTAACTTAATACAAAAAATGGTTTATAGTAAAACTAAGGATAAATTTATTAATAAAGAATATAGGTGTAAATGATACCGAACAAGAGAAAAAAGGGAAGATATGGTCACAAACAAAACAAAAGTAAAAATATGCTTTCTAGTGTCTAAATTTAACAGATTATAAATGTGGTCTCGGCAATTCCTCACCTACAGTAAGTTCTCAGAGTCTTCAACCCACCCTGCTGAAGGATCCACCTTTCACAGATTTCCAGAGCACTGGCCTCTTTTGTCCTGGAAGCAATGGATACCAAAGGGGTTCTCTCCCCTTCTTTGTATGGTACAGCAAACCTTGGAAGTGTGTTCTTCTGAAGTGTCTATCCCCACATAAAGTTCTTCTCCCATGCTGTTTGTCTCTTCCCATTGACTTCCCACCACCCTGTTGACTCATATTGAAATGTAACTTCCATTGTCTCTGGCATTACCTTGCTCAATTTAAATTGGAGAGACAGGCAAACAGGCAAAACAACATTCCTTAGACTAGGACAAACTTGTTTATCAAGTCAGCCCCCAATACACATTTTAGGACCATATTTCCAGCACACATACATAAATCTTTACACACCATCCATCCATACTATACATCAGGGAATGATATTCATGACCAGTGTGACACCACTTTTTAGGCATTGTACTCGGTACACTTTTATAAGATAATATTGTATACAATAAGTTGATTCAGTTGCTTATTCTTTGGGGTTCAGACTCTCTCTTCAGTCTGGACCCTGACTGTCACACACACACATATAAAATTCACTTTGCCTCAATGATGAGTTCTACATTTAGTGCATTTTACAAGATTAAAATGCCACCTCTTTAAAAAAAGGACCTCTTCTACTGTGAATATAAATCTCAGCTAACATCTAGGATCTGGGACTCTTAAGCCCTGATCCTGCAGTGAGATCCACTCAGTCAGGCCCTTGCATCTGCAAAGAGCCCCATTGAAGATAAGGGGGCTCAGCACCAGTACAGGGGTCTGCCTGTGCAGATCAGCCTGCTAGTTGGGGCATGATTCCCAAGCCATCAGCTGAGTTTTATGGTCAGAGTGAGAAGAAAACCTCTAGCAAGATCTCCAAAAGCACCAAGTGTGTTATGTTAAAAAAGGGGGTGTTAATTTTTTGCAGTTCGTTGTGACTCATCCAATTGATTATACAAGGAGAAAGAATTATATCAATGATTTGAGCTTTCCAAGTCACACATAAATAACTTCAAAATTATGTTACCAAAGATAGGAAATTCAGAGTTAAAATTCAAATTTCAGTCTTCACTTGTGACATTTTGAGTCACCTTCAATGAAAAAAAATTCTGGCTTTTGTCAATTTGTATTACAGCTTTGGAGTTCTCTAGCAATAGCTGAGTTGGGTGCTTATTAATTTTTCTTGCCTGTATCACATATTTTTTAAATAGCCTCTGTAAAGTTAGAAAATCATATACAACACCACAATGACCTCATATATTTTGAACACCACCTTAGGTGATTAAATCTGAAAGAATTTTTAAAAGCTAATTTAGCCCATAGCTGGATCAACTTGGGTGGAGCTTGCAGAATTGGGGACTTGCTTTTCACCATGTAGTCTGTTTGTGTTCAGCATTTCACTCAGTTTGGGCAATGCAATTAGATTAGTCAGTTTTAATTTTGTTAGTAGTCAGTTCACTTTCTAGTTGTCATGGCCTAGTACCAATAAAATGTTACAATCTTTGGGATGCAGTCACTACAGCGGAATATATTTTTACGAAACCTAAGTGTTGGGTTTAAACTGCCTGAGAGGGTAGTGTCCCTTTGAGACAGGAAACAAAATATTTTGCTTAATATTTTTCAGAAGGATATAAAATAAATATTATTTTCCGAAACTCCTGAGGGAATATGCTTATTTGGGCTCTTTCTGTTTTTAAAAAATTGTCAGGGAATGTTCTGCTTCTGACCAGAGAGGTGGTGGCTGTGATATAGGGACTTCATGAGTTTGCAGGGGATTTAGGGCCTGATTCTATTCCCACTGAACTCCATGGAAAAAGTATTGTACTGAGTACGTATTGCCTCTTTTGCAAAAGGGAAAAAATATTTTGTTGAAGATAAAAAATAAGTATTATTTTCCAAAAGTCCTGAGGCCATATGCTTTTTCCAGCATAGTTAGTGAATAAGAACTAAGGCACTTAGAAGGATCCAATCACAGACTCAATTGGTCCATTAAGTAAATGTAATAATATTTACTTAAATAGCCCTTCTGGATTATGTCAGAACACAGGTTTATAACTTTTTAAAATTGATCAATATTATTAAATGCACAGACTCTAAGGATGACTAAAGAGCTAATTCAACCTACCAGTTTCTCAAAGAGCTCAAGCCCCAGGTAGAGAATGAAAAGTGCAGATGATGTCCTCATTGAGATACCAAGGAGGAAAAATCGCCATACAAGCATAGGACAAAGCGACATAAGATGTGTTGACAACATTTAATGCTACACACACACAATTTTGTCAACCTCTTCCAGAATGCACTTACACTAAAAGGGAACACCTAATGTGCTATTTGCACAGTGGCAGATACAGTATTTGATTGACTACTCCAATCTATGATTTCGTTTGGCTGTTCACACTGAGCCCCATCAAGCAGGAAAGATGGCTCTTGAGTATTTGATTCTTGTTTTCATCACTTAGGCAGATGTTCACACAGTTGTCAGCAATGAGCTCCTGAATCTAAACTATATATATATACATATACATTCTGCTTTCATTACATAGTTAGGCCCTGGTGATTTATGTCACCTATCTGTCAATCATCAGGCAAAACAAGTGATAAAAAATAAACCAGTTATCTAGATTGTCCTATTTTATTAGAAGGAAACAAACTAACATTGACTGATTGCATTTTAAGACTTCACCAGAAGTCTCAAGGGATGAGAATTTTAGAATGTCACATCATGGATTATATCCTATTGTGATAGGCAGAAGCAAACAAATGCCAAAAATTCCTGAGAAATTATCTGTGAAAATCTGGTGAAATATCATGAAATTTGCACAGTGGCAGAAAGCAGCATTCATGATTGGCAGCCGTGTGTCCCCATCATTGATTGTATCTATCTATGGAGAAATATAGTTATTAATAATAAGATTTCCCTGATTTCATTTCTTCCTACATCCCCAATGCTTCCTTCATGTCACTGAAGCTTCCCACCTGACCATTTCTTTTGTTTCCTTCTCTCAATCTTATCTTTGTGCCATCTTCCATGCCACCCCTAGTGCCTCCTCAAATCCACTTCTTCTATGAAGCTTATCCAATGTGCATCCCTCTAGAGCAGGGGTGGCCAACCTGAGCCTGAGAAGAAGCCAGAATTTACCAATGTGCATTGCCAAAGAGCCACAGTAACACTTCGACAGCTCCCTGACCGCCTTCCCCCCGACAGGTCCCCCCCCCCAGCCCCCCAGTGTCTCCCACCCACCAGCAGCACTGCCAATCAGCACCTAACCCTCCATCCCTGCGCCTCCCGCCCACCGCGATCAGGTGTGAAGGAGGCTGGGTGGGGGGAGGAAGAGTAAGGGTGCAGCAGACTCAGGGGAAGGGGCGGGGTCCTTGGGGGAAGGAGTGGGGCAGAGCCAGGGGTTGAGCAGTGAGCACCCTGTAGCACATTGGAAAGTTGGTGCCTATAGCTCCAGCCCCAGTGTCGGTGCCTATCCAAGGAGCCGCATATTAACCTCTGAAGAGCCGCATGTGGCTCCGGAGCCACAGGTTGGCCACCCCTGCTCCAGAGGAAGAAGTGTTACGGAAAAAAATGTTGTTACATTGAAAGGAGTTTAATTATTTTATAATTTTTGCACCTCTTGGAGACAGAGCCATATCCTGCTCATCTGGTGCATCCTAAGTTAGTGTTGTTATGTTTGTATGGTTTGGAATGGGCTGGGGAGAGAGTTCTTCTCTGCGTTTTGCATATGCTATGAAATGGATGAACTCTCTCAATAGCTTCAAACGAGAGCCATTTTTTATTTCAGCTTCTTTCTTCCTCCCTGTTTGTGGACTGTCCCTTCCAAAACTACACTGGCTCAAAGTCAAGGATGGGCAGTATTCAGTCCTGGAGAACTGACATATTTGAGCTCTGATGTCTCCGGACTCTGCAGCACTAGAAAGGGAACTTTATCCCTTTGTAAAGTGGCAATGCCAATCTATCCAATGGGAAATACCCTGGAAGATGCCAAGAGTTCAGACCTTCACGCTGTGGGTACAGAAAACTATTTCAGGTCATTTATAGAGGTTTTAAATGGCTGCATTTAAAGGGATAAAACTCCCATTTCTTTAACAGGGAGCTTAAAGAAAAATGGTGGCTTTTTGAAGGTTTGGAATATTACAAGTAGATCTGATGAAGGGGAAATAAATGAGCTTGAGGCAGGCAATATAGTCAAAGATAAATGATAAAGTATGGACCATGTGATATGCAATTTATTAGCCGGTTCTCTTGTTTTTCATAATGCTCTGTATTTTATTGTGTGGATATCACCAGCACATACATGGTGTTTATATAGTCATTGATGCTTTTGAAATCGAGCACATGTACCATTCAGAACAACTTTCCCTAGTCCCAAATATTAACTTGGCTAGTAGGAGACTTTGCTCTGTGAAAGGAAGTAAAATGAAAAATTTGTATTTTTCAAGCTTTCTGTGCAGATTTCAATATATTAAAGTCACTGTGTAATAGTAGCCATATATCTGGTTTTGCTACATTTCAAATACTTTGCTGCTGCTTCCCTTTGATGTCCCTGGGAATTACACAGATCTTTTCTGAGTTTGATTTCACCAATTTTTTTTTCTCATTTCCCTACACGCTTATAAGGGGGCAAGTTTCTCTCTATAGAATAAATAAGCAGCAGCGGTCAATGCAAATCTGTTGATCAGCAATCGTTACTTCTTTATGCGCATGATGTTGCTCACAGCAGGGTCGTGAAGTATGAAAGTGAGTGACACACTATACAGTAGCACTTGCGGTAATTTGTTAGCTGTCTGAGTATATGTGATCATTTTGCTAACGGCTGGCTTTATGTCCCGATTTTACAGGAAAGATAGAATGAGATTAGAACTTCCACCTACAACCCCGCCTCATCCATTCTGGATCTAAATCTGAGCAGACAAACAAGAGTTAACAAACAGCTTGCTCAATCTGCAGCGTAACCCAATAAGAAATATATTAGCTTGGACATTGTACTCTATCCTTTCCGGCCCAGGCACCAGTGTGTTTGAGGGGGGAGCAGCTGTACAAGTGACAGTGTATGTAACAGAGCTGAATGAATAATTCAGAACAAGTAATTCAGTTGATGATTTTTTTCTATTCTGATTTCATGGGGCTTCTCGTGGGCTTGAAATGAAACAAATGCTTTGATGGATCAGAGCCTTAGGCTATACTGGGGGGCCAGGATCTATCTGTTTTAGAAGTTAATATCAATTGTGGGTTTTTTCCTTTACAAAGAGCTATTGAAAAGACAATGGATTAAATTCTGGAGTGACTTACACCCAGTGCCACTCCACTGACTTCCACAGGGTGGCAATGATCGAAAATCATTGCCGAATTTGGCCCACTATTTGCAAAAAAATTCTATGAAATTGAATAGAAATAGGAGAAAAAGATGTCCAGCTGGACTTGAATTCCTCACCAAAAGATCTCAGGTATGTTGAAGCATCAATCTTCACAAGAGAATGATGTTTCCCTTCTCACGTGGTCCTCTGCATCACTCTCACTTTCCCAAGGGTCACTTCAATCCTTCCTTGCTTTCAAGCTCTTTCCATCTCCTGTTGACACCCACGGAACTAGCCCCTTAACTCCCTGTAACCTCCTGATGTCCCTGTGTTGTAGCCCCCATCTTTCTGGCCAGGGTGATGCCTTTCAGATCTGGGGTAAGGTAGATCAGGCCTAAGTGACATAAGAGCCGTATAGCCCCATTTTTAAGTTACTTGACCACCTAAGAGCCTAAGACTTATTGAATGTCAATAGGTGCTGAGCTCCTAAGTCACTTAGACCCAGTCTACACTTAACAAATGTAGCTGGCATAACCATGTCAGCAAGGGCTGTGACTTTTAGACTACATCGGGGGGTGGAAGTAGGGGGGACAGAAAATGATCAGTCTGGGAATGGCTTGGCTGCCTTACTCACTGGCTACCATCCTAGCACATTGAGCTGTCTGTTTAAGTTACGTCACTTAAGCACGCAAATGCCAAAGACAATATGTACAACAAAATAACAGAAGCCACTATGTTTAGCGTCAAGAAACTAAGCCAAAGTACTTAAGACGGGTTGTATCCAAGGCTTGAACCATATCTCAGATTGTGTCTAAAGCATATGTGCTTCTAATGGTTTAAACAGATGTGCATGGAGCTGTAATTCTTGTAAATTGAGAAATACTCCCATATTCATCAGAAGCAGGGGCTCTCACAGAGCACTTTCTGACATGCCTAACCCATTCTAACAAATATGTGGCCTCCCAAGACATTCACAGATGTCACTTTGCTGCATGCCAGCATTCACCCACAATTTCATGGTGACAGCTGGGATAGAACTGGGATCTTCCTGTTTCAGAAAACACAAGTCCCTAAACACTTGAGCTGAAAGAGAATCTCACTCAATCCTTAATCTTCCAAACACAGCTGCCCTATGGCAAGCACTTCTGAAGCCACATCGTAGCCAGCAGAGATATACCTGTAGTGCAGTACTCTGTACAATGGGAAACTGCCACATCAGGTATGACTGGCTAGCCCCTCAGCTGATTCAGTGAAATTTAAATTTCACACTAAGTAGCGAGATGCTGTGAACACAGACTTCAGATATAGATATTTATGCAGATTACAATAAAAAGTATTTGCACTCATTGCACAACAGGTGGATGAAATGAAAATATTTTCCCCACCCTCACTAATAGTTTTACTGCACATATAAACAAGGCATCACAATAACACTAAACAAAACAGGTGCATGTGCAGGACAACATGTTACACTGGTTGATTTATTGGTAGTCTAGCAGTAAGAAAATAATAAACTCTCTATTTTGGATAGAACAAGTGAATACTTGGTTGGGTTACCAAAGGTCAGACCTGACAGGTGGAAAGCTGGTCAATTTTTTTGGCTTGTAAATCTCGACAGCATCCTTTTTAAAATTTCATTTCATTATTTAAAACATTTTAACAAATGGTGTTCTGAATTCAAGATATGTATATTTCCTGAAGGACAGGAATCTTCCTGTCAGACATACCCACACGTCAGCATAAAAAACTTGGGTTGATCACATCACTGAAAGCACAAGTGCGAAAAGATGTCGGCTCTTGTATGGGGAATCTGTGGCAAAGTTAAAAATAGAACCCATATCTCCTGACTCCCAGGCCTGCGTGTGAATCACAAAGCCCTCCTTCTCCGTCTGTTTTCTCCCCATAACAGTCTTACCTTGCCACCTGGCGTAAGAGTGAATGAGACAACACCCTGTTAAATTTGCTGCATGGAACAATCCTGCACTGGGCAAACAGATCTAACAGGTGTTTTTAACTTATGTATTGCTATGATACTGACTTTGTGGTCCTCATTGACCCAAGCCTGCAGACTACAACATTAAACAATGTCTGGAGGCCCTTGTATCCTCCGCGTGGTGCTTTTCCATCCCATGCGCTACCTGGCCTGTTTGTTTGGTAACCTGGTGGGCTAGTAAGTCGTGATGGGATGGAGCTGAAGTTCAACTTGCTACATTTGTTCAAAGGAAGTTTTTTCCTAGGCTGCAGGCAGCCTTGCTGACTCTAGGGAGCTGGAGTGATGCTGTGAATGTGAGCCCATTTTCAGGATCTATTTATAAATGGGAGAAAGTTAAATTAAAAAAATGTGCTAAGGTTTTAAAATAAAACCATGACCAGGTCAGAGTATAAACACAGGAGGGAAATTAAGCCCTTCTTCCAAGGGAGAAAAAAAAAGAGAGCAGGCGAGAGAGCGCATAATAAAAGGAAAATTCATTAAGTATAACAGGCCAGTTTTGGATGGTATAAATCAACACAGGTCCATTGACTTCAATGGAGCTATGGTGATTTATACCGGCTGAGGACATGGCCCAATGATTATAAAGAGAGAGGAAAAACACTGAGTGGAAACATAGCAGAGGTGAGAAATCCACTTATTCACACATTTGATGGATAATCCACTAACAACAGCTGGTGCTGGTAAACAGATGAAGAATGTCATTGCCTGGCATTTAAAGTACAACCAGTGTCACTTTGTGCATTGTCCTGAGGAATACGACACTGCGACCTTTTCAATGTAGCCCCTCATTTGATGAGTGTTGGGGAGTATTAAACTCATTGAAAATAAGCCCTGATGCAGGGAGCAGAAACTTTCACTATGATTGACCTTCAGCAATTTGTCTCACTTGAATGGAAGCTAGCACTTGCTGTAATTTCAGTCTCTAAGTGTCCTTCTTCTTTCTTCCAAACAGGTTGCACAGTCACTATGAACAATGGCCCAGCTATACTACAAAAAGGTAAACTATTCACCGTACAGAGACCGGATCCCATTGCAGATCGTGCGAGCAGAGGCAGAGCTCTCGCAGGAAGAGAAGGCCTATCTCATTGCTGTGGAGAAGGGGGACTATGCCAGTGTGAAACATGCCTTACAAGAGGCTGAAATCTACTACAACATCAACATTAACTGTATGGATCCTCTCGGACGCAGTGCCCTTTTAATAGCCATAGAGAATGAAAACCTGGAGATCATGGAGTTACTGCTGAGCCACAGTATTTACGTGGGAGATGCTCTTTTGTATGCAATACGGAAGGAGGTGGTTGGGGCCGTGGAGCTGCTTCTGAGTTACAGGAAGCCAAGTGGTGAAAAGCAGGTCAGTCAAATATTCAGGCAAGGAATGTTTATATTAGCTAATGGCTTGGTAAGAGATACCCAGCTGATCAGAAGCTCCAGAGGGTCTGGACACGTCACAGACTCAGCTAGATAAGGCCTGGTTATTAACTATGAGATCACTATGAAAAATCCCAGGAAGTTGTTGATTCTGTAGAGAGCACATTTCTCTGAATCAGTTCTGAGCCAGTGTCCCAGAACAGCTGGGGGAGGTGGCATGGGGGTACTGTGCTGTTGAAGGTGCTGTATGACCCAGGAAACACAAAATGAAGATCCTAATGAAAGATTCTCTGGTCCTTTTTTGTAAGAGTAGCTGTGTCAGTCCTGGTCTCCTGGTCAATTTCCGATCTGAGTAATCACATTCTGCCTTACTTAAATCCCCCCTTCAGTTTCAGTTTCAGACAGTATTCATCTTCACTTCCCAAACTAAGGATGCGGGCAAACCCAAAACGATTTATAGAGAGATACTTTGTGTAACAATTGAGTGTCTTTTTTAATTAAATTCCAATATATAAACCTAAGCCAGCATTTCCCAAACTTTTTTGGCCACAGAACACCCGGTATATATTTACGGAACACTTACAATATTGTTTGGTTTTCAAATAAAAAATTGCGTTATTTATGCTCAAATATATTTTATTTTATAAAACACAGCAAAAATACAAATTTAAAATAACTTGAACTAACAATTTCTAACTGGAAAGTGCGTATAAAGTAGTACAAAAACCAAGTGCAAGACCCTTTTTTTAAATTACAATTCTTTCACGGATCACCTGTTCACATCGTGCAGAACACCAGTGTTCCGCGGAACACAGTTTGGGAAACGCTGACCTAAGCTATTGTTTTCTTGCTTTTAACACATGGAATCACTTTTCAAAGACAGACCCCAACACTGCAAACACTGATGCATGTGCTTAGCTTTAAGCAGGTGAGCAGTCCCACTGACTTCAACATTTACACATGTGTGACAGCTGCCATGCATTGGCATGCCATGGCCATACAAACAGGCTGGTGATTGAACTGGAGACTTCCAGAGCTAGGAGCATGAGTTGCTACAGCTTGAAATAAAGCACTGTAGTTGTGGGGTGCAATAACTCATTTCCTCTGTGCTTTGGACAGAGTGGGACCTGTAACAGGCCATGTGCTTAATGTTAATCACGTGGGCAGTCCTACTGAAGTCAATGGGACTGTCCATGTGCTTAAAATTAAGTACATGGCAAAGTGTTTGCAAGATCAGAGTCCATGAATGTTACCTATTGTACTGTACAATTTTTTCTCTCATCTTCATTTACAAATAACATAGCTGATCAATGGGCTGCTGAGTGTATGTAATACTAGACGCACTATAGATTTTTGCCTGTCCTTTGATTAGAATATCTATTGACCTATCTCTCCATTCCAATGCCTAATTTCTGTTCTGAAATCTACTGGAACATGTTCCATGTTGTATAAAAGAATTGAGGGATTACTGTGATTTAACCATGTTAGATGGGGTGGGATCTGAGCTACCCAGGAAAGAATTTTCTGTAGTATCTGGCTGGTGAATCTTGCCCATGTGCTCAGGGTTTAGCTGATCGCCATATTTGGGGTCAGGAAGGAATTTTCCTCCAGGGCAGATTGGAAGAGGCCCTGGAGATTTTTCACCTTCCTCTGTAGCATGGGGCACGAGTCACTTGCTGGAGGATTCTCTGCTCCTTGAAGTCTTTAAACCACGATTTGAGGACTTCAATAGCTCAGACAGAGGTGAGAGGTTTTTCGCAGGAGTGGGTGGGTGAGATTCTGTGGCCTGCGTTGTGCAGGAGGTCGGACTAGATGATCATAATGGTCCCTTCTGACCTTAGTATCTATGAATCTATAAAAGGTTGTAGTGTGGAGCTTTTTTTTTTTACAATGAGTTAATAATCCAAAGCAAACAATGAAGAAATACTCCAGATCATCACAGATAACTTTGAAGGATGTCCCACTTACAATTCAGAAACAATACCATTCCACAAATCCCTTGAATACTAACTAGAAATATGTTGCTGGCAGATTAGATAGATAGATAGATATTTTCTGACAGAGTTAAACTGAATACTACTTTTCTGTTTTATCCTGATGTGAGTGGCAAAATATGGACCATACATGGGAAAATGAACTGTATGTAGTCTTTTCTCACTGCTCTAGAAAGACTGGTTGTCTTGTTCAGAGATACACCAGAATGGCAGAAGGTAGCACAGAACTAAAGATAAACTCAAGCTTTACTGAAAGGGTCTTCAGTATAATGGGAAAATGCTGAGGTTAAACACAAGTACGTGTGAATGATCATGAAAAGAAAGTGCTGTGATTCTATGCGGGCTTCAAAAAGTTCTCTTGTAATACAGAATTTTTTATTCTTAGTGATTCACCTCCTCCGTTGTTTTAAGGTGATATAGTTCCGTTGATGTCAAAGGAGCTAGGCTGATTTACATCAGCTGAAGATTGGACCCAACATCTTTAGTTTAGTGCTACATTTCAAAGCACTAAACTATATAAGTATCTAATTCTCTTTCTACACCAATGTTTATATCTTTGTGTGTTCCATTAATGCCAGGGGGAACTGTGCATGTCTGTTAAGGAAAAACAATTTTCATCCTGATATAACGGTTAAATTGTACACAGAGTTGTGTAAAATGTTCCCAATAAAATCCCCAAACACACAAAATACACCTGGTTCCAGTGAATCAGATCCAGATGGCACAAACTCAGATTCATTGCCAGATTCATCCCTTCTTGATACTAAACTGGGAGGAGTGGTAGATACGCTGGAGGGCAGGGATAGGATACAGAGGGACCTAGACAAATTGGAGGATTGGGCCAAAAGAAATCTGATGAGGTTCAGTAAGGATAAGTGCAAGGTCCTGCACTTAGGACGGAAGAACCCAATGCACAGCTACAGACTAGGGACCGAATGGCTCGGCAGCAGTTCTGCGGAAAAGGACCTAGGGGTGACAGTGGACGAGAAGCTGGATATGAGTCAGCAGTGTGCCCTTGTTGCCAAGAAGGCCAATGGCATTTTGGGATGTATAAGTAGGGGCATAGCGAGCAGATCGAGGGACGTGATCGTCCCCCTCTATTCGACATTGGTGAGGCCTCATCTGGAGTACTGTGTCCAGTTTTGGGCCCCACGCTACAAGAAGGATGTGGATAAATTGGAGAGAGTCCAGCGAAGGGCAACAAAAATGATTAGGGGTCTGGAACACATGACTTATGAGGAGAGGCTGAGGGAACTGGGATTGTTTAGTCTGCAGAAGAGAAGAATGAGGGGGGATTTGATAGCTGCTTTCAACTACCTGAGAGGTGGTTCCAGAGAGGATGGTTCTAGACGATTCTCAGTGGTAGAAGAGGACAGGACAAGGAGTAATGGTCTCAAGTTGCAGTGGGGGAGGTTTAGGTTGGATATTAGGAAAAACTTTTTCACTAGGAGGGTGGTGAAACACTGGAATGCGTTACCTAGAGAGGTGGTAGAATCTCCTTCCTTAGAAGTTTTTAAGGTCAGGCTTGACAAAGTCCTGGCTGGGATGATTTAATTGGGGATTGGTCCTGCTTTGAGCAGGGGGTTGGACTAGATGACCTCCTGAGGTCCCTTCCAACCCTGATATTCTATGATTCTATGATGGGGGACTCTATCCTGGGAAGCAGTGACTCTGAAAAAACACTTGGGGGTCATGGTTGATAATCAGCTGAACATGAGCTCCCAGTGTGATGCTGTGGCCAAAAGAGCTGGTGCAATCCTAGGATGCATAAACGGGAATCTCGAGTAGGAGTAGGGAGGTTATTTTACCTCTGTATTTGGCACTGGTGTGACTGCTGCTGGAATCCTGTGTCCAGTCCTGGTGCCCACAATTCAAGAAACATGTTGATAAATTGGAAAGGGTTTAAAGAAGAGCCACAAGAACAAATAAAAGGTTAGAAAAACCGGCCTTATAGTGATAGACTTAAGGAGCTCAGTCTATTTAGTTTAACAAATGTAAGACTAAAGGGTGACTTGATTTCAGGCTATAAGCACCTACTTGGGCAACAAATATTTAATAATAGGCTCTTCAATCTAGCAGAAAAAGGTTTAATTCAATCCAACAGCTGGAAGTTGAACTAGACAAATTCAGACTGGAAATAAAGTGTAAATTTTTAATAGTGAGAGTAATTAATTATTTGAACAATTTACCAAGGATCAAAGTAGAGTCTCCATCACTGGCCATTTTAAAATCATGACGGGCTGTTTTCCTAAAAGATCTGCTCTCAGAATTATATTGGGGAAGTTCCAAGGCCTGTGATATACAGGAGGTCTGACTAAGTGATACAGTGGTCCCTTCTGGCTTTAGAATCTATGAATCTATAAATTCAGAGGTCACAGGGTGAAATATAATAGCCTGCGATAGACAGGAGGCCAGTCAAGATGATCTAATCATCTCTCCTGACCTTCAACATTCTGACAAAAAATAGGTTTGTCACAAGCCCAGATTCATTCCTATTTTGAGTGGCCCTGGGTCAGCAAAAGAACTTTTGTACAAAACAGGATTTATTAACTATAAATCTCAGAATTTCAGGTTGTTCTGATCTGCGCTTTTGGTTCGGGATCTTCTGTAGACCTCATTGGGAGTTTGCCTGCAGAAGATTGCAGGACTGGTTCTTAGCTCTTCAGCCTCATCAATACGAATGGATTGGTATTCATTTCATGCACAGTTCTATCGAAAAGAAGTGCCTAGTTAAGCACAATAAGGACACGTGGCTTAACGCTTCAACCCACAAAGCTAATCCCAGAGCAGCCTGTTTCAGAACTCAGACTCCTTATGATAGCCTCAGAGCTGTGCCAATGCACATTCTCCAATGATCCTTACTGGATCCTTCCCTGGGGAAGTCCTAGGGTGGCTCCCCACCAAACGTCTTTCACAAGAGTACCCCAGAAATCCTCTTAGCACAGGACAGCTGCTGAAGTTGAATTATATGCCTGTGTGTGCACGTATC